GTCACGGACCAGCTCTGCGCTCCCGGCTCCGGTCAGCTGTTCCTCTTCATGCACTCAAAAAGACAACTCAGCCCAAGCTCCCTGCTTTTTAAATTGCTTTTTAAAAATGCACAAAGACATATGGAAAAGATGATGTGATTACTTGTAACAACAAATACCATTTCCCGTTAATTTCTCTCCAGGAGCCTCTGCCTTTTCTGTTTGCTTCTTTTCAAGCTGCACTAGAGATGTACGGACAGCAGTGCTAAAACTTAAGAGGGCAAATAAACACAAGGACCATTTGCTTGCTGGCTCTGTGCACCAGCTTATGGCAGGAATACCAGAACAGATGATCAGAGGCTTTTTTTCATTTCTTTTAAGCAGAGCTCCTGACCTGTGCACTGGAGGGTGGAATGATTCATTCAGGTTTTTTTCCAAAGTCTTGGGTGCTCAGCAGTGGTTTTCAAAGGGTATGTTAGCAGGTGAGTCATCTTACATGCCTCCCTTTGTTTCTCTGAGTTTCATCACAATAATTATCTCTTTTTTTTTTCTGTTGATTATCAAAAACTTTACAGGAGTCTTGCTTTTGAACTCCCACCTACCCCTGAAAAAATGGTGTAGTAAAGTCATATAAATTACAAACTGGAGAAGGAACTCCTGCCCCCGGGTCAGACGTGGCAGCTGGTACCGTGCCGTGAGGTGCTGCGGACGGCGCGGATGTTGAGCCAACCGACGAAACGATGGCGAAGCGTTTACACCGAGGCTCAGCAGCGGCGGACCCGCGGCTCTCCCTGGCACTGCCAGGCCGTACGCTGCCTTCTTTCAAAGGGGCAATAAGACGCTGCTTGTTATGTACTTAGTCTGTGGCTTTGAGGGAAAATGCCTCCTTAGCCCCAGACACAGTGGGAGGTTTTATTGCCTTTATTATACCATTGCTGGCCACAAATGCTGGTTTTCTTGGCATACCTGAAGTGTCAATAGCGTGCATGCCATTCTCCACATCTCTCTCCTCCAGAATTTAAGACTTAAATCAGGCAAAACCCAAAGAGCACTACAGGAGCAGGAGAAAATGGAGTGCAAGGAGGAAGAAAATGCTAGAGATGGTCAAAACAGTACCCAGGCATTTCAGCCCTATTTTATCATCTGAGGCTGCATCAAGTGAATCTCTCTCTCTGGAGATGCTTAGAGCAATTACATTTGTTCTATTTATTCTCCCACAAAGGCTTGGAGATGAGTCAACAAAAAAATCTTTTAGGATGAAAAAATTGAAACTTGAAATAGGCAATATCCCTGGACAATTTGTTCTGCAATCAGAACAGCATTCTCTTCCCTTTCTGCACTCAATCTCTAATTAAAAAAAAAAAAAAAAAAGAAGAGAAAAAACAACACAGTAACAGTCGCATCTGTAAACACAGTCTCTTTCATTCTTGCTTGCAAGCTCAAGGAGCTATTTCAAGACAATACAGAAATGCTTGTTTTCTAGAGTTCATTTCTGGTGAGAAAACGCCCTCAGCTCTTGTCAGAAATTCCCAAGTGAGAGCAGAAGCTCTCCGAAAGCCCCGAACCAGCTCAGTCACGCACAGCACATGCACTAAAAGGAAGGAATAACTCCACACACCTCTTTGAAGGACTTCTTCACCTCCACTAATGGATGCCAGTGCGCAATAGGCTTGCGTGGGTATGCCAGCATCTCATTCCAGTGGTCTCTGCCCAGCCCTTCAGCATTGACCCCCACACGGCAAACCCCAATAATCTCGTTGTGACCCACTCTGGAGAACAACAGAAAAGCAACACAATTATCTCTCTCTCAGGCTGCCCATACGCTGTCCGATCGAGACTTCCGAGCCCAAGCTGTCGGAGTGCCACGAGGCACCGTGCCAGCGAACACGAGACGTCGCAGCTACACGACTACAGTCAGATCTTTGCTGCTGTCAGCGCATGCGGCCCCCAGGACAGCGAGGCACTGCCATCACCAGAGATAATTATAACAACTTCAAAATGATTTGAACTGTAGGTCAGTCCAGATACAGAATCTGGAAGGACGCAGTGGTGCACAGCAAGAATAAGCACAAGTTGAGTAATGGATAATTCATACACCAGTTGCTGCTCAGTGAGAGCTTTTGCTTTCCAAAACGAGACGACGGTTTGCAGGACAAGCAAACAGCGCCGCAGAACCCACAGAACAGAAACGGAATGCAGGACCCACTCAGGCCAGTGCCATGAAGCAAAGGATCCGCTTTCCCATACTTACTGTTCTAGCGGGTGATTTTCCATAACCATAAATGTCAACGACACTTTAACAACAAATCACTAGAGACAGATTGATGCCACGGAGCTGTGCAATCAGACCGTGATCCTAAGGAAAATGGCTGTTGAGCAGGAAAACCTGCGCCCAACGGGATGTTTGCCCCTTCCCTCTCCAGAGCCTCCCACTTACCGATCGTAATCCATGACGGAGATAAGCAGACTGACTTGATCCATGTTCTCCGGAGGAATGTCAAAGATTATTGCTTCATTGTAAGTGGGATTAAGTGTGTTTTTCTTTATGGTGGTTTTCTTCTTTTTCAGCCTTCGCCCATCACAGAGCAAAGACACTTTGACATAAGGATCTGCAGAGGAAGAGATAGGAAAAGGCCTTCTGTTTACGGAGGTTTGCTGTGCTACCAACAGCACTGTCAAAGGATGGGCTGTAAATTACCAGGAGCCAAAGGCACTCCTCGAATGAACTTTTAGAAAAAGGGATGTCTGTATTCCCGTCGGACCCACCGTTTCTTGTACTGGTGTGAGTGCTGACAGGAAAACCAGCACTGCAGCCTTCTTGGAAGGAAAACCCAGCTGTTGCCATCAGTTTTTCTGTGATGAGGGTTTGAAAGTGTAAGAAGTGCAAAAGAAGCCCCCACCTCACACCATGAGCCCACATTCATCAGCGGTGACAATGCCCCTGGGCACTCAGGCATTCTGGCTCGCATTACCCACACGGCTGCAGGCAGCAGACCCCGGGCTTTCGCTGTAGCAAAACTAAAACTTTTCCAAAATTTGTCTAAGAGAGCAAAAGGTAACGCAGCGTTTTGATGACCTAAACAGGCAGAGGGGGGTGTTTTACAGTGATCCTTTCCTGCGCTGCCACCAAAACTATCCAATTGCTGGCATTATGTAGCAGATTTACTGTGAGCAGGGAATTCTAAACCCCGTTCTCCTAATGTCAGAGAGCAGCAGGAAGAAAAGGTTTTAGGGCAGCTCTGCTTCACCTGCTTCCCACTGGCCGATCACAGCAGAATGCCCTCCAGTTACAAACAGCTCTTGCTCGCTCTGAGGGCCGCTCAGGCGATTTCAATGCATTTTCAAGGAACAGTAAACATGTAGGGGACCCACAGAAACGCTGAGCTGGCTTCATCTGAAGTCTCAATTCTCAGGCATTTCATATGGCATCAAACTCTGAGCAGAAACGTTTTCTGCAAAGATCTTTTACTGTATTGTTACTGCCTTTTACACAACTCCTCAATGAAATTCAAATACTATGATGGAAAAGAAACTGCTTTTTATGTTGAAATCCAGAACTTACACATGCTGAATTTGCAAGCCAATTCTTTGGAAGTGTGAATGCATACGGTCTTTAGGTGACTTTGATCCTAACGTTTGGGTACTGGCCACAGTACAGAGGAATACACACTCACCTGGGATTCGCCCAGGTGGCCCATGATCCTTTCCTAATCTTGGGGTGAAATGACAGATTCTGGCTGCGGGGGGGGTTATATAGGAAAACTCCCTACTCGTACAAAACTGCCAGGGTCAGTATTGACAACAGATCTGAAGCATCCAACCCAAGAGATGCAACAGAGCTTTGACTCTGCAAACCCTCCCACAGGGATGGGAAACCACTGTCAGTCTCCCTGAATAGCATATTCAGGTATTTAATCACCCTCCCTGGATTCATGCACTTGGGAATGAGTTTAAAAGACAATTCTACTTTTAAAAGTAGAATGCATACCTAAAACATGGACAAAGCTTTGTCAGTGTTTCAGAGACAATAGAGACTTGACATCGAGAGACATATGCCCACTATCCACTGAGGATACCAGGAGGGAGGAGGAAGAAGTGTGGATGCAATAGGGTCCTTCTCAGCCATCGAGCACCTACCTGAGTAACCAGTGATATCCATAGCTTTGAGATTCCTGCATTTAATGACTGTTAAGGTGAGGCGACCTGCAGTTGGCAGATAACAAAGGGAAAACATGATCTCTCCCAGGTCCACGCTTTCCTTTAATAAAACAGAGAACACATATTGGAAACGTGCAAGAACCAGCTAGGCTGCCTCCACCCTCTCACAGCGGGTCGTGCAGGATTCGTGCCTCAAACAGGCTTTTCTCTATTCTGTCATTTCCAAGTGAATGACACTTTACTGTATGGCAGACTGCAGAATTTATTTTCCAGTGTATCCCAACATTATTTGGCTAAAAATTAATATAAGGAACAGGAAAAAAAATGTGTGTCCAGATATTACAGCTTTAAATCATAGTTCAGTATGATCTCCCACTGCCTGAGTAGGTGCTTCCTACTGCAGCGTTACAGCTGACGCACTCCTCGTTCTGCCCCATTGCTTACACGGAAGCGAAGGGAGAGCTGACACCAAATGAAGGCCAGTAAGGAAATTACACTCCTGTCAACTTTTGCTTTAATGTACAGCATATACCCTCTAGTGCCCAGTGTGTGACACTAACATCTATTTCCTCAAATGGAGAAACACCAAACACAGGGTGAGATCACAGAAGGGTGGAACCTTAACAGGCAGCAGTGCCATAATTCCCTGGTTGTGCACTGCAACAAACGCAACGAGTGACTTGCTAGCACACCCGCCGCCGTCGGTTCAATAACAGGGACTTCGCTGGCGCCTCACATCTCGGCAGAGAGCGCAGACCGCTCTGAGTAACTCGATGATTTTCTCCAAAGTTGAGCATGAATCACTAGTTAGCTACAGACCAGGGGTCATAGCTTTAATGCAGAAAAGGACCATGAAGGGCTCCATTTAGAAGCAAGTGAGCTTTTAGGTTGTGACCTGCTTACCACCATTTGGACCACTGGCCTCTTTGAGATGCCTTCAGAGCTAACACACGCAGTATGAGGCACGTATATGTATGAATATAAATAGTGAATTAACCAGCAGATGGCACTCAGAAACGTTTGGTTGTTTCTGGATCACCTAGAGGTAAATACGATTTACTCTTTTAGTGCTCCTTAAAACAACTTTTACACATAGGTCTTAGCACCTCTTGTACACGCAGCCTTATCTACTACATCTCCTAAAAGCCCATTCCATCATTGCCTTGCTGATAGGAATTAAGGAAAACAAAATAAACAAACAAAAAGTATTATTTAAACTAGAAAGCATTATCATCTGAAGTCAGTAGAAAGGTTTCCAAGTTCCTTCCAAAAATGGATTTTTAAAAAGTATCTTATTTTGTACATACAGATTCCACATCTGTAGAGCAAACAACCTGCCTATTTTTGGAAACAGAGGGTTTGATTCATTTCAATGTGATATAATGATCTGCAGAAAAGAAATTGTAGCTGTTAGTAGAGTGATGGAACTGAAAAAACAAGTAAATGCATTAGGCACTTAAAGCTTTGCTAAGTGTTAGGAGAATAGATCTTGTTGATGGATGAGATTTTTGCCAAATTATTTCCTTCTTGTTCTCTGGTAAGGCAAAGATGAGATATTTGTTCCACTTAGACATGCAGAATACTAATGAACATTACATGAAAGCCTTGATTCTTTACAAGACTTCACTTGACTAGCAAATAAATTGAAAATTTTCTTCAGCATACAGTGTACAGAAGAAACAGTGGCAGCCAAATGTTTTCTGGACAGAGCAATGTATGGCTAGACTTGTACGTATGTAAATAAGTGTTCAAGGCCAGGTTGGATGAGGCTTTGAGCAACCTGGTCTAGTGGAAGGTGTCCCTGCCCATGGCAGGGGGGTTGGAACGAGATGGTCTTTGAGGTCCCTTTCAACCCAAACCGTTCTGTGATTCTACGATTCTAAATAAATGTTGTCTCTGCAGGTGCTATTTGCTGGTAAATAAGACTTTAATACTCCCACCCACTCGGAGTTCCCACTCTGATCTCTTGCTCACCTTAATGAACCAACGGCATCCTGGACAGCTTCCCTTTCCGTGCGACCAAACGAGCTGGAGTCACAGCCCCATTGTCAGTGACCAGTAATGAAAGTGAAAACACTTACTGAGTTATCATTCCTCCACCTTTGGTACCTCTTGACGTGTCTACCAGGAGCTAAATTTAAGCTAATTTGCCTTATCAGGGTACCAGAATAATTTCCATCACACACAAAAGAGCTTTTAGAGCCCCTGCAGCTTCTGGCTCTTGGCTGCATTTCAGCTACGGCACCTCGAACATAACGGATGCCCCCGAGTCGGGCTGCTGTCTTGGGGGTAGAGCAGCAACGAACCCCACCTCCGAGTGCCCCGAGACATTTGGCAGTTTCACCCCTGGTGTCAGCTGCACCCCGAGAGCTGAGCCGCGCCGCGGTTCTTACCGCCTGACTCCGATGCGGCCGATTTCCAGCGGACCGGGAGCTCAGTATTTTACAGACCCTCATTCATTCTCAGTGTCCTAAAATGACCACTCAAAAACCGTGTGCCTGAAATTACAATTTGCTTTTTAAAACATGGAACTTCTTGTTACCTTTAGAGGTATTCTTCCTCTTTTAAGAGTCTGAATAAATAACTCTGCACTTCCTAACGACTGTCTGGAACCTGCTGCACACCCTGCCACTGCATCAGAACTAGCTCGAGGACTGGGATTGTACTGAAGTGTCCCCAGCTCCAATCAGACACTGCATCTATCAGTCTTAGCTACAGACTTTACTGACCATAGAAGATAATTTAAAATAAACATTCTGAAATTATTGTTAGAAACGGTTGTTCTATTCCCAAAGAAATGAGCACCTGCGTATCACTGCCTGCCGGCTCCGCTGGGCGCTGTGGCCGCTGCACGATGCAGCAGCAATTGGTATTCAGACAACACCTGCGCTGGGTCTATTTTTCATACGTTCTTTGGTCTGTGTTGGTCTGGGAGGGACGAGAGCAGGAAGCCTTGGACACAGATGTCAGGAGAGAGCAGCCCTATACGAGTCTGTGAGAGCACCCTGTGGGCATGATCTCATCTTCTGCTCCTCTCCTTGCACTGAAAGGACCCGTTCAGGGTGTAATACCAACATAAATTGTTCTTTGACCTCATTGTATTAGGTCAAGAGATTTTGCTTTGCAACCATAAATACAGGAGAGTAAAATGTGTCCTGTGGTACATTATTTTCTTGCAGATTATAGACACTGGGACATTTCCAAAATTCATATCAGTTACCTCTTAGGAAATAATGGAAGCTCTGAATCAATAACCTTTGCAGTCTTGAAACCAAAAATGTTTCACTGATTCACAAGCTGTACAATCATTAATTAAATAGTTGAGTGCTAGCTGTTTGAATAGCTTATATCGTTGCTTAAGTGCTTTCCTATCTTCTTACCCTCGCGATTGATCTCATGCATTATTAGTCATCCAGAGCTTTCCTCGGGTGTTACGAAAACCGTGTTTACCCTTCTCATTTTTGATTAAACAGAAAGGTCCTTGGGTGTGTTATAACTGGCTGAGATGTACCAATATTGGCCCATTCCCAAAGAATGGCACAGAGAGAAGGAGGAGATGGAGCCAAACACAGCACTGGACATTTCGGTGGGAGCTCTGCAAGGCTGCTACACAATGTGTCTTGGGCGTCATGTTTGCTCTGCTCCTCTCACACCTTCTTTGGAGGCTTCTCCCTCAACACTACTGCTGTTGGTGTCTCTGCACCTGTTTTTGTGGGGGCTTTTTTCCATTAAATTAGTTTACTTAGTCAGCTAGGAAAACACCCACTATTTCTTGCAGAACCATCCCAGCAAATATGGAACATACACGGGTTAAAAACTCCATAACCTTCTCCTGTTGCTACGTGATTTATGTGGTTTTCGTCCAGTGAGACCGAGTGTTACCCCTGTCCAGTTTCCAGACAAGGAACATACTCAACCACTGAGTTGTTTTTTAGCAAACCGGGTGTCAGTGAGACTCGCTGTGGGTGAGACAACTGCACGTCACTACGTAAGGGGATGAAATTCCAGTAAACTGGGATTCTGGTAAAGCTGGCAGGGTTCAGAGTACTTCACCATCCCTCCGTGCAACGGCTTCAGGTCCCCAGGGCTAATGGTACCATCTCTGGGAGGCAATAAACCTACCAGTCAGCAGTTGTGCAGGACTCACCCCTTTAGGCAGTCCAGCCAAAAAAATATTCCCGAGCTGTCCTGCCCTGGGGCTGCTCAGAACACACTCCATACCTGTCCTCCTCATGCACAGATACCACCCGCCACGCCGCAGCACCGCGCCGCAAACGCTCCCAGGGCAGGGACAACTCCCCCAAGCAGATACTCACCGTCGTTGCGTACTGAATGTCCTTCCAGATGGAAGTCTCCCGGGAAAGGTCTGAGGCCTCAAACAGGTTCTCCAAGATAACTTCTCCGATCATGTCATGTCTGGAGAACCTGTCAAAGTCAAAGACGCTCAGGTGAAGCTTCCTGCTCGCCAGCTCCTCATGTGGCACGGGGAAGTGGAAGGACTCGTCGAAGGTGGGATTCAAAGTCTTCCTGTGGACTCGTGTCTGGAACTTGCGCTTTCTGTCAGGCAGGAGGTAGATCTTCACGTAGGGATCTGAGCTGCCGCAGAAGTCTTTGGCTGGCAAGTCAAAAGCCCTGAGGATTCGGACAGTCAGTGTCTCATTCTCATAGTCGTACTTGAGAGTGAAGTTAATTTTCCCACAGGTCTTTGCTGCCTCTTTTTTGGGGTCCTCAGTGTCAACAGATTTTTGCTTATAGAGTTCGGGCTTTATGCGGCCGATGCTGGTTGGCTGCTCAGCCACAGCCGGTGGGTCCATGCCGTAGTCCATGCTGGATACGTGCATCTGCCGGGGAAGGTGCCTTTTGAAGGAGATGTGCCTGCAGGAGGAAGACACGACAGCTGTATGGTTTTCCATGGACATTTCTCTCCTTTTTCTTCCCGGACTACTAACGCTCGGAAAGCAGGGAGAGCACAAGAGCGAGGGCAATAGGTGCTCTTGGCCTCTGCGCAGAAACCACGTACGTTATGGAAGTGGATGCTGAAGGGAACACCTCCAGCGGTCAAAGGAACCGATCCAGCAAATTTCCTCACTTTCAGAGTATTTGCAGCAAGCTGCGTTTTTTTCACCTGTTACACAAGTAAAAAGCCCACAGCTAAATACGTGAGACCCAACAATTCCCTAAGCAAGGCACAGACAGCCCAGCGCGGAGACGCTGGCCTGGGCTGGGCTGTGCATCGGAGATCCCAGCAGCGTGCCGGGTCTGCCCGCCTGCCACCGGAGACAGCGGGTTCGAGCCCTTCCCACACACAGCCCAGTCCCACTTTGTCTGTCCTAACGCAGACAGCTGAGCTTTTGAGTTCTGCTCCGTTGGAAAGGTGTAAGAAAAGCAGAACGAGCGCGCGCGCAGCAGAGGCAACCAGCTGCCCGAAAAGTGGTGCAGTTAAATAAAAGAGTATGTGGCACAATTGCAAGTGCCATCATGTTGATTTTAACTCCACCTTCTTCAAACAGGAGCTGCAATTGGTGCCTTATGAATTCTGCAGTTCAGCAGCCGATCTCCGAGCAACGTCCGTTTGTGCAGTCGCGCTCTCGTGCGCGTCGTGGGCACCGCCAGCAAAGCCAGCAGCAGTGCTGGGGCGCAGCCCGGACCCTGCCAGCGCCCTTTCCTGTCCTACTTTCACGGCCTCCTGTGTCAAGGAAGAGGTGCCGTGTTTCTCAGACTTAAGCCGAGGTCTCCCAAGGTCCGTACAGCCTTACCCTGATGTACCGGGTGAGATGCTGACGTCTCTGCCCCCGGCTGAGGCAGAGACGCGCTGAGCGCAGCCGGTTCTGCACTTGTGCAGTGAGCGACACGTCAATTCTGCTCATCTAATTGTTCCTGCCAGGAGCCACAGCAACCAGCAAGAGCAAAGAGGTCTAATTCTGTCTGACAGCGCGCCGTCATGGATACTTCAGCCTGCCGCTCCTGCTGGAACACAATTAAAGTGGCCAAAGCGTACTGACGGCGCGACACAATGAGGTCAAGTCACAGCAACAGGGCTGGAATCCGTGATTTTTTAAAGGGCCCGTGGTGAGCCAGTCTCAACACATCGTTGGTTAATGACCCATCTTTGGGAAGTAACCCAGCACGTAGGTGGGAGCGCTTTCTTCAGCCTCCCTGAAGGTACGGGAACCTCCGGCTCCGTTAAACACCTCTCCCACCCCGCGGTGCAGCGTCGCTGCGGAGCACTCGTCCCGCTCACCTGGTGGAAGACGCAGGCTCCGTCGTTTGCCTCTGGATCCGCGTGCGCCGCATGATGTGGTCTTTCATGGACATCTGGACCTCTGCAGGGATGTCCGGCGAAGTGTGGCTGATCTTCACCGCTGCCTCCAGGAAGCTTAGGGCACCCGTGTCCTTGAGCTTGTCTGCCATGTTCTCCTTATTGCGGCCCGCCTCGCTCTGCACGGTGCCCGGGTGAGAAGAAATGACCTTGTGCCTCCGGGGAACCCAGCACAGCTTCCAAAAGAGAAACAGAAAAACTGCCACCAGGGCCAGTCCACACACAATAACTATCACTGCAAGGAGGCTGACGGAGAGCTCTACAGGGGGAGAGAAGGCAACATGACAGGGAGAGGGGAGGAACGGGAAAGGAGACAAGAAAAGAAAGATGGTGAGAAAGCCATAAGTAAATGGAAGAAATGGTCCATACTGACTTATATCATGACTGATGGAGAGCTCTTGGCAGGTTCTGCAAGTGAGAGTCAAAGCCAGGTGAGCATCCTCCAACAGATTCGGGACCGCTTTCTGCCAGAGACACATCTGGGGAGAAATGGGTGTCTCCAGATGGCCAGACCTATGAAGTCTTATACCATGATGCTTAGATTGCCTATCAAATATCATCCTTGGTTTGTTTTGTGGCACTGGCAAACTGCTGAGCCTGAAGCCGAGAAGAACTGCAGAACTGAATGATAGAAACAAGCTCCAGTGCTGTACCAGCAGAAACTGTCTTTTTGCTTCATACCACAGGTGTTCAGACACTATGTTAAAATAATCTATCTACCATGATCCTGAAAGCAGATTGTTGTTGTACTATCAATGCTCACATCTTGTCCAGATGTGCCCATGGGGAATAAAAAGTAAATACCAATAAAAATTTTTTTTAAAAAATCACAAGCTGCTGATGCAGTGGAACCGAACATAGAAGGAGACTGTACAGAAAGTACTGCACATTACTCCTTCTGCTGAATAGCACAGAAGCTGTGTATGTTCTCTGACTCACTTTGACGTCATACACTATGTATTTCAGCATTTCAAGCTTTTTCTGGAGAGGAAAGAGCTTCCATACCTAAGGCTGAAGAATCGGGAAGAAAGGAAGATGTGCACAGAGAGATATATATGATCCAGGCTGTGAAATGATTCACAGCACTTCAAAAAGAGAAAACAGTGGCTGGTTTTAGTTCCTTTCTCACAGTGTATTAGTTTTCAGATTCCCACCCAAACCACAATTCCAACAGTTCAGAATCATAAAGAACAGCTGTCCCTGAAGATGGAGACAGGTTTTGCACTGGAGTCCAGTCTGCAGCGTCAGGTCCAGTCTCAGATCGCTACGAGTTCCAGCACAGCTCCCCGACCGCCCGCAGCGTTGTTTGCAGCGACCAGTAAAGGTGTGTTCCTCAAACCACTGAAGGGCACGTCAGGACACGAAGATGGGCGAAAGTTTATCAAACACTCCAGAAGTTTATTCAGCGGAACCATCACCTCTTTCTCACCTCCTTTACGTGTGTGTTTGGACCGTAAACGTTTTGCGCCGCCGTGTGAAGCAGCAGCCCCTGGGTTCACCCCTGCGACACGCGTGCCCCCGGCCCGGCCGAGCGCTCACGCTGAAGTGGCCCCTGCTGAGCACAACCAGCCTCGGGGGAAGTCAAGCGATGGGCACCCAGGAAACTCAGTGTCAAACAGTTTCATAAGAGAAGTGAAGAACCTGGACTTTTTGCAGATACGTCTGTGTCGTTATAGAGGAAATGGTTGCAATGCAGAATCTCCCACTGCTGGGAGTTGTTACGCGACAGAAAAGTTTTTGCTGAGATACTTCTGCCCATTCCAAGAAATTATATAGCGTGCATGACTCTGCTGGCACACCCGACTCATTAATGGAAAACATCAGAAATCATCAGCTATCCCTTCTGAAAACCTGTTGCCAGCTTGGCAAAGATCTTAGTTCGTGTCATTTCTCGCTGAGCTGGCATCCATAATGTATTTGACAGGATTCACAGATACTTTTATGCATGACCTCCTACTCTTTCCTCTGACAGCTCACATAAAACACGAGTAGAGAGATCAGGATTTTACAGACATTTTTTTAAGCATCTGCCTGGGAGGAATATTGGTTTGTCTGAAGATGACACTGAACTCCCCAAGGCTTTTTCATGGCTTACTAAACTTAAATATCAGCTGGACAGAGTTGACCTTAATTGATTTAATGAGCCTTCTCTTATGAATTTGAAAATACCAGTTACTTTTAAAAAAATACCCAGTATTCAAAATGTTATGCTTTAAATGTCCTTTAACTTAGAAGAAACTGCAAAACCAAGATAATGCCTTATCTCACAGAAAATGCCCCAGGGCCAGAGGTTGCTTGGGTACTCCTGGCACAGAACAGACCAAGAGACACCTCAGCCCCTCCCCTGTCCCAGTACCCGTGCGCTCGGAAAGCGGCTCACCAGTACAAATATCCATTTGCTTCATCTTGGATGGGAACTAATTAAGAGACTATGGTGGAAGTACCCTTCAGCTCTATATCCCTGGTGACTTCATAATACCCAAACTGAGTTACCACAGGGGATAATTAGCAAAGTCCAAACAGAATACGATTCATAATATGACAAGGCCATGATTACAGCAGTCTATTAACTGCAAGACAATACTGGTCTAATTATGGCAACATTGACTTTTATTACTGTGAAGTAGCTTGCGCCTATCATTAAAGAGATTCATGGGTAACTCTGAGCTTAATGTGAAGAGTTGTATTTAATATCTTGAAGATGTAATTTAGCTTTTCTTCCACTGACTCTCCACAGAGAAAACAAAACACATTTGATGGCGCTCTCATCACTCCAGCATCTATTAGTCACTCCAGCCACCTGCTGGGTTTCAACAAATTTGAATACCATGAGTGGAAGTTCAAGGGGGCTGAAAAAATCAAAGGCTACAGGCTGAGGCGCAGTGTGGGGCCAGGCTCACGCTGCAGGAGCTCACCTGCAGTGGCCACCGGCCACCAGGACCTGTGCCACAGACCCAGCGGGCCCCTTCCCAGAGCCTCTTGGCAGCTGCAAGAGGACAGATGTGCTTCTGCATCTGGAGAACCCTCAGCACAACCCCCTCACCAGAGCAGCCTTCTGCTGCGGTTGGGTACGGGCAGCGCTGCCGCCGTGGCACGGTCGGTCCCACAGCTCCGTCGTCACATACAGACTCAGACAAAGCCTCTGACCTGATCCTGCCAAGAGCAAACGGAATCTTCCCTGCAAGAGGTTCCTATTGGTAAGTTTTCTGGTGGCCAATGGACAATCTCAGCATCAGGGAGAGCTCTGGCTGGTTCGTTCCCTACTGGGTTTCTTTCAGCTGAAAAGGCATCTCCAGCTCTTCTGAGCTGTGACTGGGGTCATGTAACGTCTTGCCGCAGCAAATGCTCCTGGAAGAGCAGTTACAGGAGACAGAGCCCAGAGGCAGGGGGTGATGGTCACGTACCTCAGCCTCGCCAGTACTGGCTGCGTGACTGGTTTTCCAGCGTAATATATCAACCATTGCTTATACTATGTCAGGAGATATTTCCAGGCTTCTCTGCCCATTTTTGCTACTTTTTCTATTGCAACAGTGCTTGTGAGAACATCTTGTTCTGTTTCTGTAGGGCTCTGTAGAGATCACACATTCAAATGAGGGATTACTGCAAGAGTTTTGGCTGGAGGAGGAGTCAGGCAGCTCTGGGGCTTCAGAAGACCACACGAGGCACCCACCAACAGCTGATCTAATTTCCCCCCGATTGAGAAGTGCCAGCAATGTGAGTTGGATTAGCTGAGGGCTGGAAATGGGGTGTGAGAGACTGGTGGATCTCGGACAGCTGAGGTGGGGGCAGAGGGCGCAGGGGAAAAGGAAGAGGTTTCCGTTAAATCCTGGCTACAGACGTGTCTGTTTAGCAATGTCGTTCACCTTTGCAGCTTTACAGAGCAAGGAGCAGGGACTGGATGGAACAGAAAGAGAATGTTAATCCGGAACAGCAGCACAGCATCCAGCAGTACCCCAGACCAAAACCAGAGCGCGAACTGCCGCAGAGCGCGGGAATCACCCCCCGGGAACGCAGCTCGGAACAAACCCTGCAGGGCACCACGGAGTGCAGCAGCAAGCAGGGCACACTGCAACAGGAATTTTGAAACGGAAACTCTCTGTCTTATAAATCGTGAAATGCTGTGTTGGGTGACAGGGGAGCTGCAGTGCAGCAGTGTGTATTTCTCGGCCATCTCCTTGTCCCCTCCCCGAGCCTGCCGCGGCTGTGGGAACGGTAACGGAGCAAATAGTAATGATCAGATTGTCCCTGCCACGCAACACGGCTTCAGTTCTCGTGTCAGCAAGCAGCTGTAGTTAACAGAGCCCACAGCTGAGTGGGCACTGGGGTCTGCAGAGAACGTGGCTGCAGGAGGCGAGCACTGGACGCCTGGTCACTCGTTGCCTCTGTGTGCTGGGACTGTGACCAGCACTCCAGTCCTCTGCCGGGGTCTTCACCAGCACACCTTCCAGCAGTCTTCACCAGCACACCTTCCAGCCTCTCGCTGCCATTTCTCAATTGAAACTTGAGCAGCGCTTCTCTTCTTGATTTACTGGTTGTGTTCTTCAGGCAGCTGTGAGCTACAGGAATATGTCCTGAAATATTCTTGAGCTCGACAAGTCATTAGCAGCTGTCACTTCAAAGTCTAACCGCAGTCAATTTGCTTTTCACAAGCAGCCTGGCAGCGCAGGAGCTGGGTGTGCTGCGGAGCACTGCAGGGGCTGCTGCTCAGGCGAGAGCACAGAGGTGGGGGTTGTTAGCAGGGGAAACAGTTCATCAAGTTCTCAGCTGATGTTAAAGGACCGGGTCAGAAAACAATCTTGGATCGAGCAGAGCTCCCGTTGTCCCTCAGACACTCTCTCATGCTGTGGGGGGCAATGAGGGCAGCCGAGCAGCCCCCGCGCAGCAGAGCAGCCCCCGCGCAGCAGCAAGACCTGCAGAGCACCGGGGATATCTGTCACCTGCAGGGCCACCAGTGGTTGTGTCTCTTGGCAGTGTAGGAGTCACTGGTTATTCCTCTCAGCCGTCCAGCGCAGCAGATGTTATGAAATACCTGCAGAGACCCTGAGAGCCTCCCACACCGTGCACGCTCCCGCACCCCGGTACACCCCACGGGGTCTCTCCAGGCGAAGGCAAGCGGCGGCTCCTCTTTGCTGCAGAGCAGCCCAAATCTTGTTTTGTGACTCTGTGATGCCAACCACAAGTAACTCCGCAGCAGACAGTGTAATGGGAGTGAACTGAAATCCAGGTGGAAGGAGGAAGAGTTTTCACAGATGGTTTTAC